TGAGTAAAATTAAAGCTAATATGCTGGAAGGATACAGACTGATTAAGGTACATCAATTCTGTTACATATACATATATCATCATCATGGCTATAGGATTTGAGTCAAATCTTCAGAACGATCAACTTGACCAGCTACATTCTAAATTAAGCTATGGCTTTAGGGTGTCAACAATATAGAGGACATAATAATATCTGCTTTGTAAATCTAGAAATGGTATAGGAAAAAGGAATGAAACATCTATCCTGTATCATTAATTCTGGTGGTAGGATGTTTTAAATTGATAGCTCTTTTATTTTAAGGGGATGGCAAAGTGAAGTGAGTGATTAAATAAATGTGCTGAGGAAATATAGAGTCAACAGATTTCTTACTAAAATTTTTATTGTGAACTAGTTATAAATATACAGAAAAGTTGCAAAACAGTAGAGTCCCCATATTCCCTTCATCCAGCCTCCTAAAGTGTTAACAGCTTACATATCCATATCCCAATGACCAAAACTAGGAAATTAACATTGGTACAATGTTACTAACCAAACCAAAGACCTTATTCTAATTTCAACAGTGTTTCCACTAACATCCCTTTTTCTGTTCTGAGATGCCACAATTCATTTAGTTGACATTTCTTCTAAGTCTCCTCCAGTCCATCTGTAACAGTATTCACTCTTTCCTTGTCTTTCATGATGTTGATACTTTTAAAGTGTACTGTTCAGTGATTGTATAAAATGTCCTGGAATTTGGGTTTGTTTGGTATTTTCTTATAATTGGAATGAGGTTATGCATTTTTGGAAAGAGTAGTACAGAAATGATATTGTGTCCACAGTGCATATCAAGGGGTTCATGATGTCAATATGTCTTATTACTGGTAATGTTAACCTTAAATTTTAATAAGATGGTATCTGCTAGGTTTCTTCTCTGAAAGGTTATAGTTTTTCCTTTAATACTTAATAAACACCTGGGGGAAGATATTCTGAGGCTATGCAAGTCCTATTATTTTCACCCACTAATTTTCCCAACCATCAATGGATCTTGTCTCCAACAATGATTACTTAGGTGTTCGCCTCATGCTGATTTTCTCTTGATGTATTTCCTTCTATGTGGAGTACACTAACATTTATAAAGCAAATGTATTTCACAGGGCCTAGTTTTGAACTTTGTGTTCAATTGAAGATAAGTACAAGCACCATGAAAACACACAGTTTATAGAAATATTTAAATACATTTAGTTTTTAAAAAGCAAAATACGGGCCGGCCCGGTGGCACACTCGGTAGAGTGCGGCGCTTGGGAGCGCAGGGTTCGGATCCCATATAGAGACCAGTCCGCTCACTGAGCGCGGTGCGGGCGCGACACCGAGGGTTGCGATCCTGTTGCCGGTCGCGGTACGGGCGCAACACTGAGGGTTGCAATCCCGTTACCGGTCACGAAAAAAGACAAAAAGGAAAAAAAAAAAAAAGCAAAATACAAAATAGTGTGTGCATATATTATTATTACAAATGAATAAAATTTAAGTTTAGAAGAAAACTTGGGAGGATGTAAGCAAATTGAAATATTATGAATTAATTTTTCTAGAATGTTAATTAAAAATTGTAATTTTTAAATAATAAAACAAAGTTATATAACCTGACTTAAAAATGAAGAAACCAATTCCAAGAAAAGCAAAAATTATGAAATAAAATGTTACTGGGAAAATCCAAAAAATAAAAAAATTTCTCAAGGGAAGGAAAACACAAATACGGAGTGTGGCTAAGAAACCAGCCAGAGTCAAGGAATCCATGCCAGGGCTACGTAAGTATGTTAAACAGGCTGGTTTAGAACTGAAAGACACACTAAAGTCCACGTAGTCTGACTGCCTTATTTTAGAGATGTAAAAACACGTTCAAGTGGTTAAGTGACATTGCTGTCTTTCAGCATTTTATTAGGGAAATCTTCAAACAAACAACAAAAGTATAGAGAACTCCATGTCATGATCATGCAGCTTAAATATAAGAGTGTCTTCAAAAGGTTCATGGGAAGATAGAATTGAAAGGTAACATAAATTTTTCAATGATCGTTTTGAAGGATACCCTCATAATTATCAAAAACAGGCCAAAGTTTTTTCCCACTACCACTGGAATTTAAAAAATTAAATCCCAAGATTAGGGCAGTGGTGACCTAGCAATCTCCAAATTTTTATATTCTCATCATAAAACTTTCGGATTTAAAAATACTTGATGTGTTTTGATCCACAGTAGTCATTAGTCCTTTTTATGCTCTCAAACTATCCACTCCACGCCAATGAAAACCCCTTCATTCTTGCTTCTCTGTCCTCCTTCTGTGACCCCAGTAGTGTCTCTGCCTCTTAATTTTTGATGTCACATGATGCTATACTGCAGTGCTTTTCAAAGTGTGGTCCCTGAAGCATGAATGTCATCATCACCTAGGAACTTGTTAGAAATGCAAATTCTTGGAGCATACCCCACACTTACTGACTTAGAAACACTAGAGACAGGGCCCAGCAATCCATGTTTTAAAAAGCCCTTCTGGTGACTCTAATACAAACTTAAGTTTGAGAACTACTGATCTAGGTTTATCTTGTACATTTCCTGCTCCAATCCTGTAATGAGTTATTTCTCCAAGAGTCCCTAGCTTCTTTTAGTGCTGAACCATGTTCAGAGATCACAATCTAGGTACTAGGGATACTCACTACCACTGGGTTGTGATCTGCAATAACATAATTAAGAAATATACTTAATTAACAAAGTAGTTAGTAAAAGAACTGAGATCAGATCCTAAGTATCCTGATTTGTAGTCCAGTGTTCTTTTCATTATATCTGAATGAATTACATCCACGTGTAACTTGCATATGGCCATCAGCTATCATTTTTCATAACTTTGATATCTATCATTTACTGAAACACCTTGGAAAAGTCAGTCATCCACTCCAAATTAGTTTCCTCTATATGTAAAATATAAATAAATAACACATCTATCTTAATTATCTCTCAGCTTATACCAACAGGAAATACAAGATTATATTTGAAGCATTTTTGGTGTTATAACAACTGACAGCAGATTCAAAGAGCACCTTTGGTTTGCAAAGACAGACTAGTAATAGAGAACATATTAGGGCGTGAGGAGGAGAACCAGGAGACAAATGAAACAGCCAAGGAGCTAACAAAGATAGGCTTGCCTTATCATCACAAAAGAAATATTTTCTATAATTAAAAGCAATGTGGTCATAATTCAAGAAAGGAGGTTGAATTGAAACCCTAGAAACAGACTAATGATTAACCAATTCCATAAAACATAAAGACATCAATTCAAACTTGTGAGCAATGAAATAATTTCCTACAAACATTCTAGAAAATTGTTAGCTATAAAGAAAAAATACCCTCACCACACAAAATACCCCAAAATATATTAAATTAAAAAATAAAGTTGGGCTGGCCAGTTAGCTCAGTTGGTTAGAGCATGGTGCTGCTAACACCAAGGTCAAGGGCTGGGATTCCCATACTGGCCAGCCACCAAAATAAATAAATAAATAAATAAAAAGTAAAGGTGAAAAATGAAAGCACAGAACAACTTAAAAAAAATTATGGGTAAATATATGCTCTCAAAATGACGATAAACTAAGTAAAAAAATCAATGGGAGAAATAGTACTGTGGAAGAGAGAAATTTGAATTATATTAACAAACAAATGAAAACTGAAGATATGAAAAACACTCAATGCCACTGGTAATCAGAGAGATAAATAAAAACAAAAATAAAATTTATTCCACCCACCAGATTTGAATTATTTTTTAAAAAGTAGAACAGCAGGGAGAAGTGAAAATTGTCAATATTAGCTCTTGTTGGCAAAAGTGAGGGAGAACTGGCATGCTGCTTTTTCACTCTATAAGGAGTATGCTCAATAAAAGTTATGTAAAAGAAGAATGAAAAAGAAAGCAAAAGTAGAGTCTCCAGGTCTAAAATGAATTTGTTGTAAACCCTAGAAATGGCTTCTAGATAATAATGCGTCCAAAAATTTTGTAACCATGCAATGGTGACATACACACTATATCATACCTAAATGGAAGTTGTAATGAGAGAAAAACAATCTGACGGTGGTTTAGCAGTCTTAGCAATAGTTTCAGAGGATTCCAGCAAGTTTACGGTATTCTTTAAAATCTGCACCTTCATTCCGAACGGTCAAGACCAAGAGGGCAGGCTACGAATCCAGGAAGTCCCAGTTAAAATGATGGCTGAGCCTCTCAGAAGGCTGTATGCATTCAGCTAAGTAATTCAACATCTCCGAGTCTATTTTCTCATCTGCAAGATGTATGCGATACTCCTGGCTCCACTGGATTATCGTGAAGGTTAGAAAAAATGAACGGGGGCCTAGTTTCAAATACTGAGAACGTAACTGGCACTTATATATGGTAACTGCTACTATTGAGCCTGGTTTAATTCATCTGTAAATAATTAGGTTTAACATCAATTATCACCCCATTGAAGTCAGAAAATATAATTTCTAAGTTCTGTATAACTGTGAAATATTCTGTCTGAATTGGATTTTTAGAAAGAAAAAAGGAAGGAAAGATACAGGGAGGAAAGAACAGGAAAGAAAGGTAGAAGGGAAAAAACAAGGAAGAATTAAAAAAAGGAAGAAAGTTAGATAGACACATACCAAGATTACCAATGCACTGTAATAAATGGAATAGGCAAACAGTTACACTGACAACCCTGAATCTTAATATAACCCACTCATTAAACTGACATTGAACTTACCAATTAAGTGCGATCATCTTGAATGAAGATGATTGAACTTTCTCCTATGCTGAGGTATCCTCACAAAGCTGTGGAATAAAACTTGTCTTTTCTATTTAAAGCCATTTCTTTATTGCTAAACAGTTGTTCTGAGAGGAAGGCAGCAAGCGGGGTTAGAAAGAGAAAGAAGAGGAGGATAAAGATGAAGAGAAAAACCACATGCAATGCTGGATCGAAGCTCTTCACCCGATCCTTTCAGATTCTCCTTGTGCTCTAACCTGCAGTTGTTGGGAGCTGTCATTGAGATTGTCCTCCCTCCGTCGAGCTTCCTCTAGCATCTGTGCACTCTTCTTTTTTTCCACCTGCTCCTTGTGCTTCAGATTTGCTACCTTTTTATTCTGGTCTTTCACTTGCCTATTGATAGGAGAAGAAAAATCAAGCTTTTCATAACATGCACAGAAGAGAATATGTTTATTTACAGACTTACACCAGTGACACCAAGGAGGAGCTGAAAACCAACAAAGAATTCCCACTGCAATTTTTTTTCAACAATTCCAAATCTCTCCTGTCAATGGTAGCGAATTGTATACAATGATGTTTCAGTTTTCCTCAATGGAACATGTATTTCAGCATGTAGTTTATGAAGTGCAATAAAATCATAAAACAAAAGAAAGGCATGAGATAAATTGTAATGGCAAAAAAGAAACCAAGTCAGAGATTGATGTGGGAAAAACAGAAGCAGTCTTCTTTTTTTTTTTTTTCCTTTTTGTCTTTTTTACTGACCGGTAACGGGATCGCAACCCTCGGTGTCGCGCTCATACCGGGGACCGGCAATGGGATCGCAACCCTTGGTGTTGCGCCCGCACCTCGCTCAGCCAGTGAGCGGGAACCGGTCTCCACATGGGATCCAAACCCTCGGCGGGAGCGCCGCCATACTCCCAAGCGGCGCACTCTCCAGTGCGCCACCGGGCCGGCCCAGAAGCAGTCTTCTGACATCAATGCATTGAAACACTAGAATGACTGATTAAGAAAGCTTTTGTAATACAACTCTAGTTTTACCATTATTAATATTTCAAACATTCAAAAGGCTACATATAATGTATACATACATGAAAATAATAACAAAAAGATCTAGGAACCCACCTTAAGAAACAGAACATCATATCTACTTCTGAAGCTCCCATAGTACCTTCTCTCTACTCTGTCCCACTGACTATGATTCCATCTTCCACTAGTAAGAGTGACCTATATGTTAAATTTTGTGTTTAAAGTCCCCTTGCTTTTATTATAGTTCTGCTACATACATATGGACTCTTCATTTAGTTTCCACGTGTTTGTACTTTATAAATTTTACCAACAAACTATTTTTTCCTTTCAATATGTTTTGAGACTCAGATTAATACAATGAGTGCAATGCAGTATTTTTAATCCCTCTTCACTGCAATATAAAATAATATATGGCAGTTTTTAAAAAAAAACATTCCAAAGTGATGAACATCGGTTTTTTTCGATTTTCTTGCTATTACAAACATACTACTAGATAAGTTCTGATATACCTGTGCAAGAATTTCTCCAAGGTATAGAAAGTGGAAAATGAATTGTTAGGCCATACAGTCAGTACAACTTACTTTACTTTCCAAGCAGTTATATTAATTTATACTCTTGCTAGTAGTACATAACAGTGCCCATTAGTTACGCTTCTCCATGTCCACTAATACTTGACACTATCAGACCTTCTAAATTTTGTCAATCTAGTAAAAGAAAATAGTATATCATCATAGTTTTAAAATGCATGTTCCTGACTACTGAGGCTGAACTTTTTTTTTTTTGTGGCAGGAACTGCCAAAGTTTTAGTGTTTAATAATTACCAGTACAACTGACCAAGGTCCAAGATGTTCAAGAAACTGGGGGAAAAATCACCCTATAAATTACATAGTATGTGATAAGAATGCACAGTTTTCAATATAAAACCTGTCTACACACAGTAGTTAGCTGCAACAGGCCATTTGGTCTTCTCTAGGCTTAGGAAAGTGGTGTTCCAGATTTCACTGTAAATTAATAGCAACCTTCAACTCTACGGGGGGCAGGTATCTTGTATTCACCTTCCAGGTCTTCTACCCAAGTCTGTGTCATGAGATCTGCAATGTTTTTCTCCACATCATCAGTGCAACTACTCTTCTTCCAATGATCGGTCAGACATGGCTTGAAATTTATCTTGCTTCTGTTTCAGGAGTATCAGGTGCTACCGAGCTAAGATTCTGCAAGGTCTTGGGGTCAGACTTGGCCATCTTTCCAGTTCCCAGATTGGTGGTTGTACATATTCTTATATCATATTTGGCCATTCCTGTTTCCATTTCTGTGAAACTAACTCATCTTTTGCTCATTTTTTAATTCAGATAACTTTTTTCTTACTGACTTCTAGGTATTCTCTAGATATTATAAATAATAAAGTACTACATGTTATGCAAATATTTCTTCCAAACTATGGATTATTTCTTTGATTGCTTTATGATATATTTTCATTTACAGAATTTAAAATTTTTAATTGTTTCAAATGTACCAATCTTTTCCTTTCTGGTGTAAAATTTGTGACTTTTCCACAAAAACTTGTCCATCCCAAGTTCACAAAATTATTCCCCTAAAAATGCTATAACTTTGTCTTCTACACTGAAGTCATTAACACACTGAAACCAATGTTGTGTATGTTACGAAATAAAAATATAATTTCATTTTTTTGGTATGGTATGAAATAAGAATAAAATTTCATTTTTTTACATGTATTAATGACTAATTGTTCCAAAAATAAGTACATGCTTTGCCACCTCTGTCATATACAAAATTTCTATGTTCATATGTGGCGTTTAGTGGCTCTCTGCTCTGGTGTGTCTGTTTATTTCTATGCCTAATTTGCACAACTTTAATTACCATACCTTTGTAAGAAGCCTCGGTAACTAGTAAGACGAGTGTCCCTACAATTTTCTCCTTCAGGACTGTTTTGGTTATTCTTGGCCCTTTACACTTGTTATATAAATTTCAGAAACAGCCTATCAAGTTCCACCAAATCATCCACCAACTAAAGCAACAAAAACCAAATAGCAGCCTTTGGGATTCTGATTCCAATTGCACTAAAGCTATATATCAATTTGTGAAGAACTGACACTTTCAAGCTCTTGAATCTTTCAATTCATTAACACAGTATATCTCTCCATTTATTTAGGTCTCCTTAAAAGGCTTTTTACAAAGTGTTATACCTTCCTCTGAAAGACTTGCACATATTTTATTTGCAGGGACATTATATGTTTTGTTGCCATTCTAAATTCCAAATTTCATGTCATTACACCCCTACACATGCTTCCCTATGCATCTTCTGGAACAGGTATTTCATTCAACAATATTTTTAATTTGTTAACTTATTATTACCAAAAGTAACAATAAGTCCTTGGTATCACAAAATATGCTTTCCATATTCAAATTTCCCCAGACATCTCAAAAAGTTTTTAAGATTTTTTTACAGTTGGTCTGTTTGTATCAGAATCAAAAAATAGCCCACACATTGTGTGTTTGTTAGATCCTTCAAGTCTCTATTAATTAAGAGAAAAGTCCCTTATATCCATCTCTGTCCCCAGTTATTTATTTATTTTTGGCAGCTGGCTGGTGTGGGCATCTGAACGCTGACCTTGGTGTTACCAACAACAGGCTCTAACCAAGTGAACTAACTAGCCAGCCCCCTCTGTCCCCTTTTTAAATGCCCCTGACATTTTAAAAGAAATAAAGTCAGTTGTTCTATAATATGACTCACATTCTGAATTGTATGTTGCTTCTACATGGTGAAATTTAACATGTTTCTCTATCTCCTTTTTGTTTCTTTTTGATAATAAAAGTTACCTTTAAAGGCTTGAATACATTCAGTTTCAATTTCTTAGGTAAAAATAATAAATAATGGTGTTGTATACTTGATATTGCCTCACATCTGAAAGCATGTAATGTCTGGTTTTCCAACTCTTAATGATGCTAAGATTCATCAGTGAGTTAAGGTAGTGATAGTTTCATCTGTGTGTAAAGGTCACCTTTTATCAACTTTTCATCTAATGATTTCATGTACTGATGAACTTTTCTGTAATAAATTATTTTAATGATATATTTTTATAGTTATATTTTCTAATGTCCTTTTGTTGGCATATAGACTTGTATGTGATTTCTGAAAATGAATTATATATCTAGAAAACTTGCTAAATGCTCCTCCTAATTCTAGTAATTTTTCTGTAGATTCTTTTTGGTTTTCTATGTAGACCATTATTAATACACCACCAAAGGAAACTAATAAAACTCCTGGAATTGTCCCCAAAGACATGGAGATCTACAAATTGACTAACAAAGAATTCAAAACAATCATCTTAAAAGCTCAAGGAGATGCAAAAGAACACATATAAACAACTAAATAAAATCAAGAAAACAATGCTTGAAAAAAATGGGTAGTTCAATAAATAGAAACCATAAAAAAGAACCAAATAGAAATCATAAAGCTAAAGAATGAAGTAACAGAAATGAAAAATCCAATAGAGAGCTTCAAGAATAAACTCAATCACCCAGAAGGAAGAATCAGTAAACTCAAACACAGATCATTTCAAATTAGCCAGTTAGAGGAACAAAAAGAAAAAAAGAATGAAAAAGAAAGCATACAGGACCTACGGAACACAATGAAGTGAACAAATATGCACATTATGATAGTCCCAAAAGGAAAAGTCAGAGAGAAATAGGCACAAAGCTTACTTGAATAAATGATGAGTAAAAAATTCCCAAATCTTGGGAGGGTTATGAACATCCAAATTCATAAAGCTCAAAGTATCAACTCAAAGAAGATTATATTGAAACACATAATAATCAAATTGTGAAAAGTCAAAGAGATAATTTTGAAAACAGCAAGCAAAAGCAACTTGGGAATACAAGGGAACCTCCTCCTCCCCATGACCATCACCTGTAAGGCTATCCACAGACTTCTCAGCAGAAACCTCACAGACCAGGAGGAAATGGGATGATATATTCAAAGCGCTAAAAGAAAAAAACCGCCAGCCAATAATACTATACCTGACAAAGCTATCATTTAGAAATGAAGAAGAGATTAAGACATTTCCTGACAAAAACTGAGGGAGTTCATCACTACTAGACATTCCTATATTGCAAGATATGTTAAAGGGAGCTCTTCTAATTGAAGCTAAAGGACACTAAATAACAACATGAAAACACATGAAAGTTTAAAGCTCACTGGTAAAGGTAACTATATAGAATTAAAAGGTAATACAAATCTTTCCACTAATTTTTTGAAGCAGCCCTGTATAATCAAATTGAAAATATTATAATATGGTAATGGTGGTACACAAATAACTTTACACTCTACTGTAAAATTTAAAAGACAA